GTGGTGAAGCACCCTTTGCACTCCCTCTAAGCCGGTACTGTTGTGAACACGTTCACCCATTTGAGATCATAGTTTTTATTGGTTTATCTCAAACCGGATCCTACTTTAAGATTGATAATAAACCTTCTTTGAGCTATTCTATTGGGGTTAACAAACAAAACTGTATAACCATATTAAATTTTACTGACTTTCAAATTAAAATCAAAATTAAAATCAATTTGTGGTAAATAGTGTAACTTAAACCACTAGTAGTGGTTGACAAAAAAAAATCACTAGTAGTGTTCTTCCGATGTAAGATCTCAACCTAACTGATTTAAGCTAATCACAAAAATGGCAACTATTAGAATAATCATGCACACTCTCATGTGTCATGCCATCTAAGAGCATAATTATAAGTTTTTAATGGTTTCTTAAAGCGTGAGATCCTCAAGTTAAGAAACGACACGTAACAGCTCGTGATTAGTTCATTTTTTTTTAATATAACAAAAAAAAAGTAGAATCCAAATGGATTTCTAGGAATGATCATGCCCTTATTATAATACCCATACTCGTTAACCTAATGAGATATTTCAACTTTTAGTGTGCTAACGTAATGACTTCCTCTTTTTTTTTGGGGAAAATTGACAAAATAACCCTCAACTTTTGAAAATACGCCAAACAATTATCCAACTCACAAACAAGCCATTTTAACCTTCAACTTCTAGTCAAACACGAATAAATCTCATACTTTCGTTAACCAAGCCATTTTAATCTTGTCAAAAATCAACCGTTTAGTTCCGTTAGTTATATTTAATGGTTGACTTTAAATAAGCCTAAAATGGCTTGGTCAACGGAAATATGAGATTTTTTATCCTAATTTAAAAGTTAAAGATTAAAATTGCTTACTTAAAAATATCTTAACTAAAATTTATTTTTTTCTGACAGAAAATATAATTTTTTATATCGATTGTAATCACTAACTTAATAAAATATATTCATATAAGTTTAGATATAATATTTAAAAATAAATTAAAAACAAAAAATATTTATACATCAGTTGTCGGAAATTCCTTTCACGCACTTGACTTCCTCATCTTCACTTGTTTCATCCTCTATTGAGTATATGTGATTATACTTTCAACAACAATGTGTTTAGGGTCTTACCTTTAACTTTTATGTTTTTATTCTTAATTTTTTTTGAACATAAACATTTAATTATTTTATTTTATATCTGAATTTACAGTATAATTGTATTTTTAATCAATTTTTTTACTAAACAATTTTTTTCGTTTTTAATTCATTTGAAAATATTATAACTAAACTTATTTGAACATATTTGATTAAGTTTGTAATTCTAATCGATATGATAAACTACAATTTTTATTGAAAAAAAAAAAACAAAAACAGCAATTTTTAGTTTAGATATTTTTAAGTGAACAATTTTTCTTCAACTTTTAAATTAAAAAAAAAAATCTCATAGTTTCGTTGACCAAACTATTTCAGGCTCATTAAAAGTCAACCGTTAAATATAACTAACGGAACTAAACAGTTAAATTTTGACGAGATTAAAATGGTTTGATTAACGAAAGTATGAGATTTATTCGTGTTTGACTAGAAGTTGAAGGTTAAAATGGCTTGTTTGTGAGTTGGAGAATTTTTTGACTTATTTTCAAAAGTCTAGGGTTATTTTGTCAATTTTCCCTTTCTTTTTGGTAAAGCATTGACGATCTTTTTCTTTACTCATAATATTGTCATGAAGTTGGAAAAATACATCATATGCATCAATAAACCCAAAAAAAAATCTTTTATATATGTATACTTTATTAAAAAAAAAAAAAGAATTTTGATGCCATTTGACAGTCAGATGTTTATCACTTTCAAGCGGTGTCATTCTAGTTGCGAAAAAGAAACTTAAAGAGAAAGGACATGTAACGAATTTGAGTGGCAGAGAAAGAAGGTGGCAGCCTTTAGTTTTAGAGGCTTTTAGCTATATAACACTAACACTATAATTTATTATAATTTTGTCCAAAATGGGAACATGCCAAATGGCTAAAAATGCATTTAACTTCTCAAACATCTCAGCAATATATGTGGATCGATGTTCGTGACTGCTTTGCTTGTAACTCAGTTCATGTCTTGTGAAAACATGATTCGGTCCTTGATTTAGATTTTGCACACGGTTAGACCAGGAACATCTAGACTTCTTAAAATCTGGGTCCAACTTTTTGCAAAACAATATCCAAACATGCGAGTTTATGATGGTCAAATGTTAAGTAAGTTCTGATATGCTAGGTTACCAATATATATGAGATGTCGTCAAACAGAAATTCAGATTTTTTTTTTTTTTTTTTTTGACATCAAACGGCTGCTCTATTACTCAAACGACTTGAGGTGGTCTGGGTAACCAGACCGGAACAGAATAACCAACGTACACAAGTTTACGATAAAAGGACCTAGCTAACTTAGCTAAAAAATCAGACGCGCCATTCTGATGTCTAGGGACATAAGTGATCTTGAAGTCTAGAAAGCAGATCTTCAGCGTCATCAACTTCTCCAACTCTGTCGAGAAGCGAGGCCATGCCTGAGGATTCCTAAGCATTACGATCATCTCCTTACAATCAGTTCCAAAGCTCTGACATGGCGAATGTTGAAGCATGTTCTCCATTGCCCACCGCAGTGCTTCCAACTCTGAATGCAACGCCGATTCCACGCGATCGAAATTACGCACCCCCAGTAACTGGCTTTTCCCAGAATTATCATTCAAGACCCACCCACAACCACTAAAGGATTCCGTTGAAGTCCAAGAACCATCCACCATACAGATGTTTCCCAAGCTTAAGGCCTGGTCTTCTCCTATGCCATCCCCAAGAGGAGACGGTACTTCCTGTTCATTTGCTTGAAACCATGCTTGGCATTCACTCTCTGCGTATCGCGCCACTTCCAATGGATCCCTATCAATGCCTCGGAATAACTTGTCATTTATAGCCTTCCAAATGTACCAGATTAGCCAGGGATAAGGATCCCTATCCAATTCCGGCTCCATTATTGCATTCTTCCTCCAAAATAGGTAATCCATATTCGCGTACGTGCTTTGAACTGGAAATATAGCTGGATTGGTCGGCGTAGATGATAGCGCCCAGACTTGTAAAGTAGGTGGACATTTGAATATTGCATGTGCAATTGTCTCTTCTGGCTCCCCACATCGAGGACAGTGGTTGTCACATCTCATCCGCCTGTAGTTTAAAATGCTTGTGACAGCTACATGTCTTGTGATCACCTGCCACATAAGATGGCAAATCTTTTGGGGATCCATAATCTTCCACGTATGTGCTTGGAGCATTGTGATACTAGGCTCACATACTGCAGTTTCATCTTCCTTCCTCAAGATATTCTGTGCCACCCAGTATCCAGATTTAACGGTATACTGACCATTCCTTGTATGAGCTATATGTATCCCGTCGGTGTGTGGAACTAATAGCCATGCTCTTGATTAGTGGAATGTCATCAGCATTAATGTAATCCTGCAGTCGTCTTTCATCCCACATCTTCGTTGTTTGGTTAATCAAATCGCTCACTCGCATATTCGGGTGCAGAACCGGTGCCAAAGGGATTGCCGGTCTCGCAGGAATAGTAGGGATCCAAGGATCCTCCCAAACTTTAATCTCATACCCGCATGAACTTTTTCTCTAATACCTAATAGTAGCAGTTCTCTGCCGGCCGATATGCTTGTCCACACATATGAGGGTCTGCTAGTATTGATTGGACGCAAAGGCGTACTCAATCTATAATACCGACCTCTCAGGACGCGAGCAACCAGAGAGTCCGGGTTTTGCACCAGTCGCCATAATTTTTTCGCCAGTAACGCCAGGTTAAACTCATGAATCATCCTAAAATCAATACCACCTTCATCTCTGGGTAAGCATAATTTGTCCCATGTTGACCAGTGAATCCCCCTTTTCGGCGGATTTGAGCTCCACCAGAATTGTGCAATGGCACTTGCTAGATTCTCACAAATCTCCAATGGGAGAAGGAAACAAGACATTACATACGTCGGAAGAGCAAGCAGGATTGATTTTATCATAACTTCTTTCCCGCCTTTAGAAAGCCATCGCCCAGTTCATCCATTCACTCGATTTCTCAGCTTGTCCTTAAGGAAGGCAAAGAGCTTACATATGGATCCACTGATATCCTCTGGAATACCCAGATATGACCCCATTCCTCCTTCGTTTTGGATCCCAAGTGTGTCTTTGATCTCTTGTCTCACATCCGGTCCGATTCTTTTACCAAAGAGTAAAGAAGACTTCTCAAAATTAATGCATTGTCCTGAAGCTTGTCCATAAATCGTGACCACTTTCATTACTTCTTCACATTCACGGGGCTCCGCCTTACAGAAAAACAGACTATCATCAGCAAAGAGAAGGTGAGATACCGAAGGACACGCACGGATAATTCAGATTTTTTTACAGAAAAAATATTCACTTCTTTTATATAAATTTTGTAGTGGTTACATTCTTCCAACAAAACTATTGATGCCTACTCTAAAATAATTTTATACAACAACTACTGCTGTTGGTATCTTAATATTTTATGTGAGGATGGTGATTTCATGGATTTGCAACTAACAAAAAAACATCTGGCGTACTAGAGCCACATGGAAAATACATAGTATCTAAATGTTTGAAGTATTCTTTTATGTCTATATACGAACTTAATCTACAAACCATTTGATTTGTTTATTTCTATCAGATGATTTACAATAACCAAAATTATCAATCTTGGGAACTTGTTTTACATGTTAATCTTGTTCTGTTGTCGAGAATGATTTACAATAATCAGAACTACACTCTGGAACAAGTTTTCCACGTTTTAAAACTTAATATGATAGGTCTACATTTACAACTATATTGGCTTAAACGTAGGTTTAACTTAATTCTCTCCATAGTCTTAGATAACACTAATTGATTAAACATAGTTTAAACAACGAATTGTTATCAATATCGCAAAATAATGTGAATACGACTGTTAACTATGTGGACTGTTTTTACATAGCGACAGAATGGTGTCATCCAATGCCGATAGAGAGAGAATAAAAAACAGACGCATTCATCGCTAATTAACCAATCATCCAACTCAAAAATTCTAAAAAAATATTTCTAACACTCACTAGCATCATCATATTCATGACATACATAACTCGCAGATATGATACATTCTCACACCCATAGCAACATCAAAGACATCCCTATTTATATCTTCCATACATGTATCAGTCTTATTATCTCAGATCCTAATTACTCTTTATAACTTTCTCAACTTTTGGTTACTTGGAAAACAATATATACTAACACATGACATCCTTGAGAAGCTTGTACCTGCGAGTGGCCAATCTAGGAGAAGGTACACCGGTTTTACTCTTGTCGGCCGTTGGAGGAATACTACTACTTGTACTAATCTCTTGTTGTTTGATCTGTTGACCTGAAGAATACTCTGACCAATAGAATCTCTTAGACGATCTACCGTTAACACCGTGCTTGGCTCCGGTTCGATTCATACTGACACCAATCGCAGATCTTTATTGGAACATCTTGCTCTTTGTAATAGCTACTACAGTACCTATATCAAGAGTATCCTGATTATGAGTTAATTATAATTTATGTGTCATGTATGTATGGTAATACTAGTTGTTGAAGTAGTTCTTCCTGGTTTGACATCTATTTGAATCACCGTTCACCGCAATTAAAATCTATATATGTTGCTAATATGCATGATGATGGTGGTTATATCACACATATATGTTGTTAATATGCACATACGGTACAGATATATAAATATGTAAATACATACGAGTGTTGAAAGCGATTAAAGCACTTGCTGCAATGAAAGAGTTTATCGGTGAAACCCACATCACCACACATGCAGCACACTCTTCTTTCAAGATCCACCATTTTTATTTTCCTTAATTGGCAGATGATGGAGAATATGAATGGGAGGAGGAGAAGAAAGAAAATGAGAGAGAACAAAAGGGAATGATTGATTTTTTTATAAGAGAAAAGAAAATACAAATGCGTAATTAAACATATTATATAGGAAAGTCGGTCCATAAGTAATAATACTTTTACAAAATCAAGGAAATGTTTGATAAAAATATAATTGCGTGAAGGCAGGTAGAGAAGACCGCATGTTGTTTTGCAGTCGTTTCCAGTTGAAACTTGGGAGGGGAAGAAAGAAAGAACTTTAAAATATAAAAATCCACTAGCTAAATGACGTTTTTGCCCATAAATTTTTGTCTTTTTCGGAATTTCACAAAGAAGGAAACTTGTGGGATACCCGTTTCTTTGAATTTTGCTCCATATATAGAAAGTGTGCGGACACTACCTTTTGGTTAGAATCCTCACAAAATACAAACTGCAAATTTTCTAGATAAAACTTTTACTTTCTCTGCTTCAAAACAATAAACATTTAAGATTTTCATAAATGTTTTTTTTCAAAACGTTCATGTTAACACAGCTCTTCTAACGTAATTTCTTTTTATAAGATGTTTTAGAAGGTTTATACATGTTTCAAAATATAAGATGTTTTGAAATTTTAATGTATATTTTGAAGTTTTAAGGTTAACTTTAATTTTATTGGAAACTGTTTAACCAATAAAATTTTTCAATATTTTTTATAATTGGTTGAATGATTTTAAAAATATATCACTAAAAATACTTTTTTTTAAAAAGTAGATATCTTAATCAACGTGCAATCAACCAAAACATCTTATAAAAAAAACGGAGGGAGTATTTTATTTTATTAAATACTACTTAATCTTTTTAATAATAAATATTCTTACGACAAACTTAGAAAAAGAGCAACAATTAACATCTAATATATTTTTATTATTCAAAAAAACATCTAATATTAAGAAAAATCTTAAAATATCTTTCAATCAAAAAAGAAAAGAAAAGAAAATCTATATATATAAAAGAGGGTTTTCCTCACTCATATTCATCCACGTCATCAATTGACTTTACCATATCGCGACACGTCGCACATCTCAAACCATGATTTCTACGTTTTGTTGTCTCTGGACTTTTTTATTTGCTTTAATAGACTATCTTCTTTAGTTGGGCCTAAAATTATACCTAGACAAAAATTACAGACATAGAGACTATTACTTGCTCGATCACTGCGTGGACACCGCTGTTGCTGTGAGTCACGCCACCACCGTGCTTTGTATCCAATGTTTACCTAAACAAATTTCAGTATATATAAGTTTAAAACGGAGAAGACAAATGATTGGGCATAAAAGAAAAACAATGATATATTCTTGCGATCTAGAGAGTCAACTGTTATACATATACGTAGATGAATACAAGTGGTTATTAGATTAGACACAATACAATTTTTAAATATAAAGAGAACAAAGAATTTAGAGGTTTGGGAAATAAGTATAAATGGGGAGAACTGGAAGTTAATCGACAGCTCCAAGTGAAGCTCAAGTTTACGACTAGATTTGTAAATATGTCCAATAAAACCCACAGTTTTTGATCTGATAATCACGTTTCGATTTCCAAAAATTATATAGTAAGTGATAAGAACATCTCTGAGATCAAAACATCGCCACGAAGAAGAGTAGAGGAGGAGGGATGTTGTAGAAGAAAGGGAAGTGGAAATCGGTGTCGAGAGCTATGCTAGAGAAAGGTTTCTCTGTTTCATCGCAACAGTGTGAGGACAATCTCAATGACTTAAACAAGCAGGGGTACAAGGAAAGGAACATTGTGTCGTGTCATGGAGAATGACGGCTTGCTCGAGACAATGGATCATCTCAGTCCCAAGTTGAAAGATAAGGGTACGAATCTGCTGACTCTAAACATCTCTTCTTCAAGGAGATGTGTGCGTATCACAACCGCTGCGGCTATCTCGACCAACTGAGCCAGATAACGAGTCAGCATCATCTGGAGCAACATAACTGTGTTAGGCGGTAGAGTCAGGAAAAATGGTGAGAACCGCGGAGAGTGAGGAAGGGCAAGAGTCGGAAATGGCGGAGTTTGGAGTCGGAGATGGAGGAGACGAGCAGGAAGAGGATGAGAGGGGAAGGAGTATCCGCAGAGGTGAAGCAAATGAGAGAGAAAGCATCGTGTGAGTAGGATGATCCGGTGAAGAGCGTGTGTGAGAAGAGAGAATGGATGATGGAGCTGGAGTATAGGAAGATTGGGTACGAGTGGAAGGTGGTGGAGATGGAGAAGCATAGAGTGAGGTGGATAAGATAGCCTTAGCAAAAAAAGAGAAAGAAATTGGATAAAACTAAGCTAGAGAACCAGTGACGGACGCTTGAGAAGGAGAGATGGTTCTGATTATGAGGCGGAGAGAGATTGAGTTGACGGAACTAAAGCCGTTAGGCAAACAGGTTGAACGAAATTCTGCATCATGATGAGCTGATTAGTGTTAAAATACTCACATTGTCAATTTTATAAGTAAAGCCAAAATGTATTTGCATGATTGATTAGTAAAGATTAAGCATATCTTGAATTATATTTTCTTGAGCTTGGTGCAAAAATATTCAACAAATAAAAATTTGTCAAAATACATAATATAATCTAATAATAATTAAATTTTAAAAATAACTATATAAAATTTATAAGAGAATAATGAAAAATATATTTATTATAATATTTTCCATATAAAAATAGTTACTATAATGAAGTTTTTTGGATCACTAAATTCAAACTTAGAAGAGTTAAATATTTATGAAAAGCCACAACCAAAAATAATATATAATTAAAGCTAGGATTTTTTATAATCTGTATAAAAATAAATAAAAATAATAATTAAATTTAGTGAAATGCATAGCATAACGAAAAATACATAATTTAACAAAATTAAAAAAAAAATATACGAAAAATTTCATAAAGAACAAAAATTTAAACAATTATCTTCATAATATTACTTTTCACGTCTCATCAAAGTAAGGTCAATGAATTTAACAGCTTTTTGGAATATTAAACTCAAGTCTAAAAACGAACAAAATATTGAGGAAACCACAAAAAGCGCATAATAAAATTACATATTTGAAAAAGTGATCTAAAATATAACAGTTAAATAAAAAAATAAGATATAAAAAAAAAAAGTAAGTTTCTTATTTAAATAAATGTGCTTTTAAAAATAAAATGTTATATCATGAAATATAACCATAAATTCAATACATATATAAAAATAAAAAGTATATTTTTGCACAGTTTAAGCTAGGAACATAATACAAAAAAAAACAAAGATTCATACTGCCAAAATAAATATAAAAATTGAATTATAAAAATTAGTTAATCGTAAACGAGACAGAATTAGAATATCCTAGCATCCAATTTTTTATCAAAAATATTGAATCATAAAAAAATATAACCAAATACTTCCAAATAAAAACATAAATAAATATTTAAAGCCATCTACGTTCTTAAAATATATTAGCACAACAATTCTTCTTCAATTCGAACTATTTTTCAAAATAAAATCACCAGTGACGTACACTATATATAAGGTTCGGAATCATAAAAAATGACTTATCACATCTAATTTCTTTTACAGATGACCTTTTACAGTCAAATCCTATTGCAAAACATTTTATAAAGCAATCATCATCATACACATCTATTTGAAATGTAAACCTAACACATAACAATCAAGCCAACAATGTTTTTATGATTTAACTAAAATTAAAACAATTTTCCTCCCGTAGGGCGGGTTTACCCTTGCATCTATATACATAAAGAAAAAGCTTCTCTCTTCTCTTTACGCCACGTCAACAGTCACATATATAAGTTGATTTACGTCGTATTGACACATGTCCCGTGTGGATGATATTCTGTGTTTCATTTAGACACGTATCATACTGGAATTTTTCCGTATGTTTGATGTTAGGCTCTCAGATTCGTCACTCTAACCGGCCCGAGAAGTTGAGATTTGCCATCTAATCCTAATTAATTGATCGGAATTTGCAGATCGTCTCTCCTTTCTTGCGGTGGTAATGCATGACTTATTTCCTTACCCTTACTAAAACCGCCGGAGTTATAATTTCGTCTTCATTCTAATTAATTATGTCGTCCACTATGAGATCTTTACAAAAATTAATAATAATACAAACTATACTGAAACAAACAAAAAAAAATCATCCAAACTAAAACCTTTTGTTTACATTAACCATAAAGCAATAATACCGTAGACATTACAAACTTAATCAAACAAAATATACATTGAAAGCGAAACTAAGTAAAAGATAGTATACCATTATTTCACATTACATTATTACTCTTAAAATGCAAATCAACAATATAAACAGCCGTGAAAATACCTACAAGGACAATATTATTATAAATAAAAATAATAAGAGATCTAGGTCACCAAAATATAAATAAATTTCATAATAAAACACGACACATAATGTGATAGGGAAGTACCACTCCCTTTCTTTGGTATGAGTGAAGTTATCACTAATCTTGAAATAAACATATAAAACATCAAAATAAATAAATTAAGGAACACACAAGTAAAATCAATAGGATGCCAAACAAATTTTTTAAAATATTCAATAAACTTGATAGAAAAAGAA